GGGCGAATGGTGGACTTATAAATGTGTAGGATATGTTGCCATGGCTGTAGTACAAGTGATGCTACAACAATCCTAATGGGCTACGGGGCACAAGATTTTTTTTCAATACAAAATGCAAGTTTTGGAAACACGAAATGACTTCCTCGACGAAAGAAAAAGTGATAGAAAAATAGGTTCTAACTTCTCGTTTGTATGTAAATAAACAATCGCCTTATTATGCTTAAAAGCTAATTGATTTCCAAAATATATACTTCGATACATACTACTGACGCATTAGAGTTGTTGGGGCAGATGGTGTGTCCAGGGCAAGATAGCCTGACCGAGCTAATTTCTCTTCAGGCCGGTTTTAAATTTCCTTTTCGTAGACTGGTTGCCATCCAAGTTAACAGAGTCCAGTCGTGTCTGCTATTTAACCCATAGGTGGAGGAAGTTGGATTTATGCTCTTCCGAAGGGCATTAGTGCGAAAGAACGAAACAGATTAGAATTTGAATTTAGTACGCCGATTTTATTTTCCCCGCCAATAAAGGGCTTACGGTCACATCACGTTAAAACAGCAGTTGTCGTCCGATCACCGAAGTTAAGCAACGTTGAACCTGGTCAGTACCTAGAACTACTAGGCGCTGTAAGCTTGAAATATACGGGTATGTAACGGATAAAGGCTCAGAATGTGAAATCTGAGAGCAGAGATCGAATTCCAGTCAGATTCGTTATAGCCACTTACGTGTACATACACTTGGAGAAGATATGAATCCACCTCGTCTCCTCTCAGCTATGGGTTAATTAGTAAGGCTTGTATCAGAAAATCATTATTACCCACCCCCACAAAAAAAAAATTCTTATATGTTTCAGTTTTAAATAACATCAAAAAAAGCTAAATCAATAAAAATCAAACCGCCGGTAATCGTTACACTGTTCCAAATATGCAAGTAAAATCTGTTGCCTATTTTATTGAAATTTGGTGTGAAATTGTATTAATTACGTAAATATGTCTATTTACACAGTCAGTTATGTGTCATGCGTGATACACGCTTAGGCGATCATGTATCTTTCGATTTTTTCTGACTGATTTTTTTCCGCAGTAGGTTGCCATCCAAAGCTATAGAACCCGGTCTGTCCTGCTATTTACCTATACTGGGGGTGGGGAGAGAGAAGAAGAGGATTCATGCCTTTCCCAAGGCTATTAGCAAATAAGTGAATATAATGGATTTGGCTGGAATTCCTCTATCCGAGCCGCTATGCATTACTGCACTGTGCCTCCCTCTGTTTACATAACTTATTTTAAATGAAAGGTTTTATATTTTATTTTATTTATTTTTGATCAGCAGGTGAGAATATTATGATGTTAGTCATAGAAGTTATTGCCTCTGTCCCATAATCATTGTTACAATTAAGTGTCCATCTCATACACTAAATACAACAACTATTATAGGACAGAGATAGTCCTTTATCTTAATAATTATACTAAGCTTATTACTTGTCAATATTAAAGCTTATCCACATTTTTAAAATGAGGAAATGGACTTTTCCGTTCGATTGAAATGAAAGAAAAGAACAGATAGCAAACTTTAAATAGATTAAATGTTAATTGCTATATTTTGCGATGCAATCGTCACAATAGAAAACGTCAAATAACACGATCTTCAGTTTATTTTACATATTTTCTATTCATTTATTTTGCTACATTCAAAGGCGGTGTAATTATTTTTTACGATGGTGACGCTAAAAGTTCATAGACTGACAGTTATCTGGGTAGAGTTATAACAGCTAGTGGAATTTAGAGACTTCTTTCCTGAAAAAATGATTTTAAGAGAAAGATTTTATAAATTTCTACCGGCAGCAGCACTAGATACTCTGCAAATGAATGCCGAATGTTTCCTTATAAAGAGCCGGCTAATATTACCATATTAGCTGAATTTTGATCTGAAATAATGATCGATATATGTGATTAATATTCAACACTGAATTAAGTGCATCACCGTCCTGGGTATGACGATAAACTACATCAGGCGGAAAAGCCTCTAATCGGGAGTAAAACTATCTCTTAACTGCTGTTGTTCGCAGATTCGCCTTAACCCGGTGTTGTAGCACCTATTAGGATCCCAGCTATGGGTAAATAGTGACCTCCCCCACCAAAACAAACATCAACAATATATTTTTATAATAAAATTATAAACAATGAATTTTTGTAGTGAAATTACCAGCAATACCTTTTAAAAATTGCAAACAATATATTTCATCTACAAATATAATATATATATATATATATATATATATATATATATATATATATATATATATATATATATAAAAATATACGTTTACTCTGAAAGTATAAAATTATGTAAAAAAAAAAATAAAATATTTAGATTTCGGCATAAAACAACTCATAGAGGTTGTTGATATGCCACTAAATAACATAAGCCAATTAAGTGCATCAGCAAAGAAGGATATTATGCTAAAAAATAAATATTTGTTATGTAAAATAAATTTCATCATTAGGCTACGGACTTGCTGATTCGCCTACGTAAACGCTAAATCCAAATTATCATTTTAATATTATGTGCATTTTGTAATTTTATAAGTGTTATAATTGTAATTTTATAGTTACGAAGGTAGATGTTTGAGTTTGTAGCATGATGAATTGCACTTAATTTAACTTTGATCTTAAACGCCCGATCTATTTCATTATTTAAGATTTGTGATAAGTGCATTGACAAGGAAAGATATTATGCTGAAAAAAATATTGTGTAAAATAAATGCATTTTATCACTACAGATTTAATGGTTTACTTACATATACTTTTTTTTTTTTAGTTAAAAAATTTTGATATTAGATTCTTGTGAGTCGTCCAGACCAAATTCCCAAAAGTAACCTGACATCAGTGGGATTCTGATAAGAAATGTTCACAGTATATTGTTTAATCTATTGGATTAATAGAGAGGCATTAAGTTACCTTCTTTGATGACACATAAGACAACCCGACTTAAACTTAATATTACAGCCCTATGGAGTTAGGCTAAGTAAAGGTACCGGTATTTCACAGCGTTTAAGTACACTTAGTAACCCAGATACATCAATTTAGAGACACACGAGCCATTTATGAACCGTTTTGTTTTGATAAAAAAGTCTGTCTTATATGCCATCGAATGCGGTGTGAAAACGAAGTAGATTATGTTGAAGAATAAATATATGTTATGTAAAATACATTTGTGGGATTACCTCACCTTGTCTGCGGGCGTGGAGGGCTTCTCATAACACCTGATATAAAGCATTAAAAAGGAAAAGGGAACTTTTCTGTTAATTTACCCTAAAATATTAATTCACCCTAAAATAAAAAGAATTTATATTTATTAAAATTCACACCAATTTCTCCTAGAGTAAGGCCCTTCCATTGCACTCCCGTTGGGTCGAACTTTATGACCGCCCCAAATGTGGGCGACTCGGGGGCGGTATTTCTTGTTCACGCTCACTCAGAAAAACATTTTTCTTCTTTATTTTTAAATTGTAAAAAAATTCCCTGTAAGTATCTTGAATATCATCCGTACTTACGAAATGTGAATAACTCCCTGATTTTTCGTAATTTTAAATTCTGAGGGTTGGAATTGTTGCGAGGCAACAAATTTTGATTTAAAATTTATAATTTCAAAAGAGTGCCAAAAATTTAACAAAAAGAAAAAACAAACAAACTTTGATTTAAAATCTATAATTTCTTGGGGTGAATTAAAATTTGCAATAAGCAACTTTACATTATTTGGGGTGAATTAACAGAAAAGATCTAGGAAAAAGACTCAAACCCATACTTTTTCTCGCTTTTCAACTACAGGATGCCATAGTGACAAGACGTGTCTCGTTTCCCCTCCGTGGAGACTTAGTCTCTAGGCAAAACAACTTTTTAATCAACCGAACTACATATCGCATCACACACACGCACACACACACACACAGAGAGAGAGAGAGAGAGAGAGAGAGAGAGAGAGAGAGAGAGAGAGAGAGACTTTCTCCACTATCTCCTATTCAGAAAAATAATCATGCAATCACAACATCTCCAGTACTGCTTTTTGCATAAATATATATTTATCTTCTTTTTTGATATCTGTTACGCCTAGTACTGTATATAAATACAGATAAAAATCGATATATATGCTGGATTCACTTATTTTAAAAATATTAAGATGTTCAACCGAAGGTCATTACAATTGGCAACATCTTCCTGTAACATGTGATAAACCTGATGTGATTTGAATACACAACCGTGACAAATGTTTTTTTTTTTTTTTTTTTTAAATAATTTGGCTAAAGACTTATTGATATTTCTATTCAGATAAGTCAAAATCGCTATCGGATATGCAATCATCTAAATATGTTATTAGAAATTAGCCCCCAAATTTCAAAACTAGTAACTCACAGTGTTGTTTATAAAATGAGTCTAAGAAAAACTATAACGTACACCTTTATAAATACGTGCAGTTAAATACAGTCTGAACAAAATTTTGAAGTAAGCCAATTTATAATAAAATATATAATAGACAAAAATAAATAATTATTTATTACTATATAGCATTTATTACTGTACAGAATCTACATTTGTGGCGGGAAACAAGGATAAAGCATTGAAAATATTGTGTTAAAGCTGTTTGGTAAAATTTAAACCTTACTTCAACCAGAAAAATGATTATCAATTTCTCACATATTTTTCTTTGTTACACGAAATGATATGTAATTATGCCATTTTTCGTTGAATATAACTTACAAGAAATACACGTCCGACCAAAAATATTTTGTTAGCCAGCAATTATTTCGTTTGGTCTTCGTTGTTTGCCATTTGATAACCTCGACTCATTTGCCTCGTTTCTCGTTCATAAAATTCGGATTTACACTTGATTGGATAATTAATATCTTCTTTATGGAGAATTATAATCGTTTCTAGTTTTCCCTCAGCCAATCGTTTTGCTCCGGTGGGTGATAGAATCGATATATATTATTCTGCCTGTACATATACTTACATATTAGGGGGAAAAAAGAATTGTTTATAGTGGGCCACATCAATGTTAATGATGGGTGTTTTTTCTCTTTGGTCGGCGTGGATATTAAAATAATAGAAGAAAGAAATAGAAATGGAGAAGAAGGAAGAAAATATGTTAATCAAATGAAAGACACAAGGAGGTAAAAGCAGAAGTAAAAATAAGGAAAGTGAGAATAATTGCGAATTATTATTGGAGACGGTAAGGTTGAAATAAAAGTTGGTGGAAAACGGAAAAAGAAAAAAAGAATGGCAAAAAGAGGTGCAAAGACAAAGGGGGACAAATGAAAAAAAGAAAAGTAAGAGAAGAGAAAGACGATGAAAAGTAGAAAAAGGTAGAATTATTTTAGGGAAATTTAAAAAAGAGAAAGAAATACGAAAAGATATTGGAATGCGACAGAAAGATAAATGAAAAAAAAACGTACGTAAAAAGTAATAAAAGAGAAAGAAAAATGAAAGAAGGAAAAATAATGAAATGGCAAGCGTGAAATAAAAGATAGTGTAAAACGGAAAAAGAAAAAAGAACGGTAAGAAGAGATGAAAAGGAAAGGAAGAAAAAAAAGAAGAAAAAAAACACAATAAAAGAAAGAAAAGAAAATGGAAGAAGGTGAAAAATAGAAAAAAGTAGATTTTTGAAGGGAAAATTAGAGAAAGAAAGAAAGAAAGAAAGAAAGAAATATGAAAGTAGATTGGAATGCAGCAGAAAGATAAATGAAAGAAAAGTGATAAAAAAAGAAAGAAAGAAAAATGAAAGAAAAGTGATAAAAAAAGAAAGAAAGAAAAATGAAAGAAAAGTGATAAAAAAAAGAAAGAAAGAAAAATGAAAGAAAAGTGATAAAAAAAGAATGAAAGAAAAATGAAAGAAAAGTGATAAAAAAAGAAAGAAAGATAAATGAAAGAAAAGTGATAAAAAAGAGAGAAAGAAAAATGAAGGAAGACAAAATAATGAATGTAATACGATAGTAGATGGGAATATAACAGAAAGATAAATAAAAATAAAAAATGTATTAGAAAAATATCAAAAAAGAAAGAAAATTCTAAAGAAAGAAAAATTAATTACAGACTAAAAAAAGAAAGAAGAAATAAATGAAAAAAGACAAAAATGAAAAGAAGAAATGGAGCTGCCGATTCCACAAATCTCTGACCGTTGATTGCAGAGCTCATTTATTGCCAGTTGCCCTAGGAATGTGCTTCCTTGTTACATCAAAGTGTACACGAAATGTTAGTGAGACACCTTCCTATATCGAAATCAAATAAAATGTAAATATGACCAGCCTTATAAACTACTGAATATCTGTACGCCTGAAAAAATCTTGCACCATTAATAAACTTCAAGGTGTAATTCAGATATAAAATTATTCCCCATTTCGTTTCTTTTTCGCTTGTCTTCTTTTTCAAGTAGGATTTATCTCCCTTTTATTTAGATAGTTGCAAGCCTGTGTTTCTTTTATGCGATTGCGTTTTCCATCTGTGTTGGCATCAACGTCATTATAATCATCATAATTATGTTAATGAGGAATCAAGCCATTAATCACATAAGAGAATGTGCAGAATACGAGAATAAACATGAATGGGTAGGAATGGTGTTATAGTAGGAGCTGTGCAAACTACATTGATTTGATCATATACATCAATGTTATAAACACGAACCAGAAGGTTTCTTAGAGAATAGAAACAGTAAATTTAGAATTTTGAAATCCAAAATGGGTCACCTAATCGAGGTCAGGGGTTGAGATCCAGTCTGATGTAAGTTAGTTCAATTTCACTTGACCAGCAGGTAAAAATGCAAAATTTAAAGAAATGGGAAAGCTGGGAAAATATTTGAAATTTGACATAGAATTGAGATATTCGAGAAATATAAAATTGATAATTGTACTGGCAATATTACTGGTTATTGTTTAAGGTATTCCAAAACTCTCCAAAATGTCATTAAATGGCGTTTGTTCTATTTTCATTTTTTTTATTCCTCGCCTTTTACTTCTCACACATTGGGACCATTCCTAGAGCGTCCATAAGGCGAGACAAAGCTTTTACTATATTGTTCTCTAGCAAAGTCCTTGTCGTTCGTTTTCTTTCTTTCTTTCTTTCTTTCTTTCTTTCTTTCTTTCTTTCATTCTTATTTTAGCACATGGCGTAAAGCGATAGCGTATTCACTTATAAATTTATTTTCAGTGATTTTGATGTTCTATGAAACTGGCCGTGGGCCAATGTTGTTTTTAAACGAGCATATAGCCATTAACAAAGCTTTTGGGTAAAAATATTACATACTTATATTCTCACGGTTTTAAATGATATTTCTTTAGATAACGGTTTAATACAAAATTATATATACACACACACACACACGTACTTCGATATCTATATATATATATATATATATATACACACAGACGTATACACACACGTACTTCGATATATATATATATATACAGACACACACACAGACGTATACACACACACACAGACGTATACTTCGATATATATATATATATATATATATATATATATATATATATATATATATATATATATATATATATATATAGTTTTAAACTTTCAACTCCACAAATTAATATATTGTTTGCTGTAGAATATTGATTAAGAAAAATTCCAAAATTTTCTTTCAAATATTTTTATTTTCCTAAGTACTTTCAATTTCATCTGAAACCATTTTCAGGGGTTGGATATCTATGGATGTGTCATGCGTTAACACCGAAAATTAAAAAAATCTTTTTCACCGCTATGCACGGGAGATAACTTATGTGATTTGTAAAAAAAAAAATATTTTTTAATTGTAGTATTTTAATTTAGTAATTTTTACATAATGCTTTGCTGCTACAAACATTTAAGAACTTTGTTGCTATAATCGTAGTTGACTATTTTTAGCCGTAATTCTCTTGTATGAAGGGCTTCCAGAATTTTAACTTTTTCCTTATTATTATCTTGATGGACCACTGGTACATTTTAAACATCAGAAACGTTGTTATGGATGACTAGGTTGGTTGTATTAAATTTAGTATAGTCTAGAATTAATTTTATTTTTTTTTACCTGGATCAGTAGGAGATATATTTAGGTTTATGAGTCTTAGAATTTTTCCATCCTGCTTATAGTTAGAATGCATCACGGTATAGTATTAGAGTCTTAGAATTTTTCCATCCTGCTAGAATGCATTACGGTATAGTATTTTGATATGTTTAGAGTTATTTGAGGATGTATTATGTTCATTTTCGTTTATGTTAATATTCACAATATTTCGTCTAAATTATTTAACCAAACATGCTTGAATGATAATATTCTGTCTATATATATATATATATATATATATATATATATATATATATATATATATGTATGTATGTATATATATCTGTCAAGTTTGACAACGTGTTTTTGCTACTTCTACTTGAATAGTAAGATAGTTATGAGACGATAATTGATCCTACGCTTTCTTACCCATTCTTTTCGACAAACATAGTGATGCCACTTTTTAATATGGGTAATATATTTTGCAGTATGAAAATGCAAGTTATCTCAGCCGGAAAAAAAACCAAACATATAAGCAATGATAGAGTATGGCGGCGCAACCATGCTTCTTCAACTCTATAATCCAGAGCTGGCACTTCCATAGATTCATTTCTTGGGATCCCGGAAGGACATGTTCAGAAGATAGCGGTTCTCTAGTGATGAAGAAGTGAAGAAGGCAGATTGCATATGGCTTAAAATGCAGCTAAGAAATTCTACAAGGCGAGTATCCACGCTTTCATTCAAATGTGGAATACGAAGATTGAGAAGGAAGGAGAGTATGCTGTTGACGAGATTTGCAATCCTGATAATTTCTCTATTAAACTAGCCGAATCAGCAAAAATAACGTGTTTAATTTATGCATTTTTGAAAAGAAATTTTAAATATTATTATTAGATAATATAAAGTAAAATAGTTCTTGATAGATCACAGATCAGATGTCGAGTTCTCTCAGGTCATGACGAACAGTTATACTTTCAACGATACTCCTTGCCTGAAACGTCTTTTGGGACTCATTCTAGACCTCAAGTGGAACTCGTATGTACGATCCATCGCTAAAGACACAGGAAAAAAAAGTTTGGCTCTCTATATCGCTCTTTGACATGGTTTATCTTTAAAAGAGCCAAATCGGATCAAAAATGAAATATTACTGCCACATCTGGGCCGGAACTGACCAATTCTCATTTTCCAGCCTCGACCGAGTTCGAAAGCATTTGCACGGCCTTGTAGGTGATGAATTATTTTCCATCCTACAACCCATTTCCCATAGACGAAACGCTGCTGGTCCCTCGCTATTTTCATGTCAGATGTTCGGGAGAACTACATTCCTTTGTCCCACCAATCCAGACCCTTACAACTGGGACACGCCAGGCCACGTACTTGTTCTCAGTCATTCTCATTCCTTTCATATTTCCGTTGATGAAGAGGAAGTTAGATTTAGAGCATCTACTTCAGAACTGTTGCAGTATGGAACAGACTCCCGAGCGAACGCTTCTCCGGTGACGATAATCTTAACCTCTTCAAGTGGAGGATCAACCATTATCTATCCTACATATCCTCATATGTACCCCATGCCCCTCATTGTACGCTCTTACATCATCATCATTTCCTAACTCTCAACCTTGAGTGACTCTTAGGCCTTGTACCAAGTGAACAATAGTAAAAAAAAAAAAAAAGACAGTATTTTTTCGTTGAGTTGTACTTGGGTTGACTTACAAATCTACGCATCGCAACGTTCGCTATTACCTGACTTCTGCTATCCCCTACAAGAGCGAGATCAGGCCAAAAATGGAGTACTGCTGTTATATATAGTCGAGAGCTTCCCAGACCTCACTCTCCAGCCTTAATAGAGTCTAAAAGTGTCTAGGAGCCTTTGTGGGTGACGAATTATTTACCATCCAACATCCTCTCTCTCACAGGCGAGATGTGACAAGCCTCTCGCTGCAGTATCGCCACTTTCACGATAAGTGCTAGGACGAACTACATTCCTGGTCCCGACAGTTCATACCTTCACGGCAAGGACACGCCATGCCACTTACATGGTGGCAAACCATCCACATTGGTGAGAATTAAGTTCCACTCGAACAGCTTCTTCCCGCGAATCACTGTTCCGTGGAACCGATTCCCAAGAGGATGTTTCCCCAATTACTGTACTCTTAACCTGTTCATTGCTAGGGTTAACCGTTATCTTCCCTTCCTATCCACACAAATTGCCTCCTAACGTAACCCTATACCTCGAGTGGCACCCGGGCCTTGTAAAGGGTGAACCTTACTTTAAGAAAATTACTGTTGCAAATAACTTTTGCGAATGTAACTTGTCTTGATTTATTTTGATATTGTTTTTTTCATCTTCAGCCGGAGTCATATTGAGTTTTTTCAGTCTTGTTCGGTAAGGATTTTCAGGCGAAATTCTTTTTTTTTTTTCGGAAGTAAATGTTAAGACTTGATTGTCGAACTTGAGACGCCACCGATACTAATAATTTTACTTCTGTACATTCGTACTTATCCAGCAACAACGCCATTCTGAATTCTTTTGTATACCATTATGCTAATAGCCATAGTTATTAGAATGATTACAGTATTTTAAAGTAATATCGATCAACATCATTATCATCATTGTTGCATTTGTTGATCTTGTTGCTATTTGCCATTTTTTGCAATAGTTTTGTCCGATTTTGCCTGATTAAGCGCCTCAAGAACGGGTTGAGTCAATTTGCCGGAAAAAGCCGATCGATCACGAACTGACGAGAAGTCTTCGACAGATAAAACTCACATGGGATTCGTCAACATTCGTAACGCATCGCATTCTCCACCTTCCTCGTCTACTCAGCCTCCTTCGCTCTTCCTTCCTTCTCTTTACCGCCCACCAAACTCCCCCACTTCCATGACACTACCAGGTCTTCATTTTCCCATCTATAGCACAAACCCCACCCACATTTTAAGAGGTCCCCACTGAGTTACCGACTTTTGTAGTCCAAATTATCCTTTGAAGTTATAGTTATCATTGAATTTATCATTTCTTTTCTCTTTCTTTTTTTCTTATTCTCACATTTTTACACTTTCTTTCTTAGTTTATTTTTTCTCCTTTCTTTCAGCTTCTCGTCTTTCTCGAAACCTCTTTGGTTTTCATTCATTCTTTATTCTACTAATTTTTCATTTATTCACTTTGTAGTTATTTCCTTTTCTTATCAACACCGCCTATTCATTCATCGCACCTTAATATTTTGTTACTTTAATTCTTTTCTAAATTAGACATCTTCCTTTCTTACTGTCTTTCTTTTTTCTTCCTTAAATAATTTTATTATCTTCTTTTACTTCTCTTTTTTAACCTTTGATAACTTCAAAATTTTCTTTCTTTCTTTCTTTCTTTCTTTTTCTTTCTTTCTTATCATATCAGTATTTCGTATGGCGCCCACAAGTAACTGCATCGCGGCTCTTCGTCTCTTCTCCACATCCTGGTGAGAATTCACGGCCCTGTGAGCAAGCGTACCACTGCTACGGATGATTGTTTTTAGGAATCATCTTTCAAACACTCGATTAGTGCAGAATCCGGGATGAAGATGCCGAAGTCAAAAATGAAAAAGAAGTAGGATTATTACTAATTCCAAGAAATATTAATCCATCTCTCCTGATTCACTTCCTTTATATTTTCATTTTAAAAAAAAATGAGCTCAACCTCTCCTTTTCCGACCTAAAAGCAAAACAAAACAAAATTAAATAAAATTAAATCAAGTAAATAGTTTGACTCAAAATAAATCAGTTCATTTCGTTCTTGTACTTTTTTTTTAAATATTACATCTTCATTATTAGATTGAACTTATTACAATTAATTCATTATTATTTTAGAAGTATTATTAAAAATTTTCTGATTGAAGAAAAGAATTTAGTACCATTTTTATAGTTTTTCTTCTGAATTATTTCCCCGCTTTTCTCGATGTTTGTTTACATTTTCTTCAGAGAGAAACAAAAAGTACATTATAATGAAACGTAAAATGTGTTTTACTTTACTAAAAAAGTAAACAGAAAGCTTCGAAGAGTATACAATAAAAATGAAACAAAAAACAATTAACGAATTTATAATTATTTGAAACGCAGTTTCTGTGGTTTCAATGGGGAAGTAAGTTTAACTTTAAATGTCAGTTATATTTTTTCAATGTCAGTAATTTTAAAAATGTCTTATTAATTCGTATCCTAAAATCATACTTGCTTGTTTTTGCGCCTGTATATGTATGGGCGCGTAACTGAGTGGTTAGAACGTCTGTCTGGCCATGAGAACCAGGTTCGAATCTCACCATAGTCAATTTCTTGGTCTGGGGAGGCAATCCTAGCGCGCAGCACCTTTGGAAAGTGCCTTAGCCCAAAGCGAAACTGTTCGGAAGACAAAAAATCAAAAAGTTAAAAAAATTGACCACGCCTTATGCGCGCTCTCTCAGGTCCGCTCAGCATTGTTGGCGGATTATGTTGTTTGAGTGGACGTCTGTAATAGACACACTGGCAGACCATAGGATCTAACCACAACATGGGCCCTTAAGGTTTAAGCATCTTCTACAGTTTGATCCAAGCATTATTTTTCTCGAAATGCTTTGTATTTTGACACAAAAAATATTTTTAGAAGTGCTTCAGTGTTTGATCCAAAGATTTTTATAGAATTGCTGCGTAGCTTGACATATGTTGTTTTTTTTGTTTTTTTATAGAAGTACTTCACGGCTTTAACCAAGTTTTTTTTTTTTTTTTTTATAAAATTGCTTTGGAGCTTGATCTAATAATTTTTTTTATTAAAGTGCTTCACAGCTTGAGTCAATCATTTTTAATATAGAATTGCTTCGCAGCTTGACCCAAGGATTTTTTTATAGAAATGCTTCGCAGTTTGACCAAAAAATGTTTTTATAGGAATGCTTAGCAACTTGACCTAAGAACATTTTTATAAAACTGCTTCGTAGTTGGACCTAAGAATGTTTTTATACAAATGCTTCGCACTTTGAACCAAGAATTTTTTTAATAGAAATGCTTCGCAGGTTGATCCCAATTTCTTTTTACAGAAATATTTCGCAGTGGACAATATATATATATATATATATATATATATATATATATATATATATATATATATATATATTATAGAAGTACTTTCTTTTCGTTTTTTCATTATTTATTTATTTATTTCATTTTAGTCATACCTGGACACTTCTAGACTAAACTTAAAGCGAAGAACTGTATCATATTAAGATATTCTGATGTTCGTCTTCATTCTACAAAAATCAACTCGAGTCATTACAAAGAGAGAGAAAAAAAGCGGGACGAAACTTGGATGACATCAGAAATTTTGAAGGTTTATACCTTCATTAAGTCATTGAAGACGAAATGGGGTTAGCATTCAGCTATTTGGATGAAAAATTGTTTTAATATTTCGTTTTGATTTCACTTTTTAAAAAGCCATATCTACGTCATTATCGCAAATAACATTTGTTTTCGTTTTCCGATAAATCGTAGCATCAAAAATCAAAATTGCATTGTAGCATCAACAATATTTTTAACGTTTGCGGGAAATCTTAATTTCGCTCTTCAGTCGACAGAAGAAAAACAAACTTGTATTTTGAGTTATTTACATCGCTCTCTTTTTCTTTGCGAAATTTCCTAATGCCCAGCTTATGTGTTTCAAAATGAATTGTTGACACATCGTGACAAGCTTGACCTGTAGGACATGTGGCGTACAATGTTGCTCGTTTAGTCAGTTTTGAAATCTAAGAGAACGAATGAAAAAAATAAAATAAATAAATGAAACAAAGAAACAAACAACGGCAGTAGTAAAAACAGTTAAGAAGTTTTAGTCTCCAGGGTCAGGGAAACATGACTTGAGGGACTAAATAAACACGTTTTACTGGGAATGTCCATCAATGAGTAAATTTCAGATAGTAACCGACAGCAGATCGTCCACTCCTTTCCAACGAAGATGGAGACGCTAAAAACCGATTTATCATTGTTGGCAATAAAAAGAAGTAGCAAAATACTTTATAATATATATTGTATTTATAATTAAATAAAAGAAAAGAATAGAAAGAGTTTGTACTAAATCAAAGTCATAAACTTTAAAAAGAACTTAATATACTATTAATCATCCCGGTAATAGTAGGAGCACTTGAATCCGTTTTTATTAAGCGAGATGAAAAGAAAGCAACAGAACTGTGGTTCTACAGAAGGTTGCTAAGAATATCATGGGCCGAACGTATGACCAACGACGTGGTTTTCAAGAGAATGGAAGTAAAGTGGAAACATATACTTAACACCAGAAAGAGGCAGTTGAAATTTCTGGGACACGTAATGAGAAAAGAGGGCTTGGAAAATCTGATACTCACAGGGAAAGAGGAACAGGGGAAAGCAACATACTTAGTCGGCTTGAGCAAGTGGATGGCGGAACGGGGCCTGGGAGAAATAACAAAAAGACAAAACTTATTAAGAGCTACAGGGGACAGGAGGAGGTGGAGGGTCATGATCACTTACGTCCTGAAGGGACACGGCACATAAAAGAAAAAACAACATGAGCTATCAAGTAGGTAACAAATAAATATACAGACGGACAGACAGAAACAGACAAGGTCGATTGCTTAACATGATGATTAGGAAATTTAATCTCACAGACCAATTCGTTAATGTAGTGCAGTGTTTCTCAGACGGTGTGAATCCAGAACTCTAGGGCTCAAAAATAGGGGGCTAGGGGTTCCAAGAAAAAACAGTGGTAATGTATTTTTGTGTAATTTTTGTTTAAGTTTATATTCGTAATTTTACTATACACGTACGTCGAATTGTTGAAAAATTCTTGGTTAAATTATAATGATTATTTATGTTTATTTTTTTGTGTGTGTTCACAGATTTAATATGAATGAAAACATCGGTGTAAGGTCTCATAAAAGAGCAATACTATTTTGCATTGCCAATAAATTTGACAAAAAAGAGGATCATTTTCTCCTTAAATCAGTTATCCGAAAAAATATTAGGTTGGTGCAAAATAATGACGTAATAATGTCGTTTTTGACGTATTTTTAACGTCAAAAAACGACATAATTACGTCATTATTTTTGCACCAACCTAATATATTATGTTTAACCACGTGAAATACAATAAAGATATAAAAAGATAGATATTAATAGTAGTACATAATAATTTTTATGCAGGGGTTTCCCTGAGACATGAAAACTATTTCAATTGTTTCACAAAGGTAAAAAAGGTAGTGTAGTGGTTATGTTCTAAGCGTAGCTTAGATGTGGCACAAGGCCGAAAGTATGGGGCATCTAGTGAGAATTAAACTCACTTTGGTTGTTACGAATCTAGCGAGACCAGCTTGCTAACCAATACACCACACCGAGGTGCCCCAAAAAGGTGGTGTAGTGGGTATGATCATTACGAGAGCTCTATCGTTGTAGCCATATGATAGACTTTATTACACTTAAGCTGCCTTATGGTTGAAAGTGTTATCCCCCCCCAAACACATACACACTGATGCTATATATCTGTGCTAGATTCCAGGACATCAAATTCTGATTTTTGAGTAGCTCGATTGCCCTTGAAGATTCGTCTAAACCAGTTTTCCTATTTCTATTTTATTCAATCTGGTCATGTGTCGTACTAAACCACACATCAAGTGATAATCAAAGTAAAAACTTCACAAAATTACTAAACACAGAAAGATAATAGTAAGACCTAAGTTATTGGTTCCCAGATATTTGCAAGGAGGTACTAAAATATCCTCGGATCAACCAAAATTTTACCAAACAGAATTTTTTTTGGCGGGGTCAAGAAATTTTCAGCATTCGCTCGTGAGGTTAATCCTTTCCAGATTTTTAGTAAGCAAAATATTAAGAAATGTCTTTAGAAACAAAGAAAAGAGTACTTAACTTCTACATAATGTGCAATCTCTATCTATAAAAGACAGGATGTGTGTGTGTATGTGTGTGTGTGTAACGAATGCACGGTTGCAATTTTCGAAGGATTTGCACCAAAATTTACATGCACATGCTCCAAGTTAGTGGGTAGGCCAAGATCGACTTTGCATTTCCCAACTCCCATTGATAGTGGAAATAATCGTCTTTTTATGCTTCTATGGCAGTTTTCACGTAGTTTGCGGCCATTTTGTACTGGCCAGAGAGAGAGAGAGAGAGAGAGAGAGAGAGAGAGAGAGAGACTATAGCTGGCTGCTACGAATAGGCAGGAAGATTCTATTGGCCAGCGTGAGAGCCAACAGCTGACTGACACGAATGTTAACTAGCATGCAAAAAAATCGATAGCTGCATTCGTCACAAGTGGGAAAAATTTAAATCTACATGGCACTTTACTCCAATTGTCTCATTCGCTTGCTTAAACTCACCGTTGATTCTGATTCCGCAGAACTGGGTTGGGTGTGAAAAAGTATTTGTCGTTAACGTTCTTTTTTTATTCGGTTTTTCCAGTTACGAGTCCTTTTTTT